CATGTCAGTCAAATTGTCAAATTCCATATATAGGTTCAGACCGATCGAGTTGGTAATTTCTTATGGACCTAAGGTGACTCTTGGGTTGGCTCCTCGGCCTAATGGGCCTAGTGGTAAGTCCTTATAGGCCTGAGGGACACAAGGTGCTCCCTTAGGTTGGCACCTACGCCCTTCGGGCCTAGGGTTACTCCTTATGTATGCAGTTTTGGGAAACTGCATATGGTGTTCAGTTGGAGGATGATACTAAAATTTTAAACTAAAAATTGTTATGATGTTTTTATTTTCCGATCTGTATTTAATTAAGTGGCATGTGCCTATATTTTGAAAATACTGCTTTTATTACTAATGTTAGATTTTCTTTAATATTGATTTTGAAATATTTTATTTTTACGACTTTAATTAACTGAATTTACACTTTGATGCTATTAATTATATTTTAAAGATGTTTAATTATAATTTACAATTTAAGTTATCAAAGAATGTCATTGGAAATTTTTTATTGTAATCTGCTAGATCTGGTCGTAACGCATAGGTCGGGTCTAGGGATTTATAGAAGTTTTACAAAAAGGTGTCCAAAATATTGCTTCCAAATAAATTGTTGCAAGATGACAATCTATTTTAAACATATTTAATTTTGAGTTCAAATATATTAAAGAGATAATCTAATTCTTTATCTGATTTCCTCACCAAATAATTCGTACAAAATGCCCCCAAACTAAAAGATAAAGGGGGAAAATATAAGAAACACAATAAAAACCCAATTTCAACAAAACAATTAAACCCCGATTCAATTTTTTTAAAAAAAGAAGCAAATGAAGAAACATCTTTATCAAAATTTTCAATTGATACATCACTTCAAGATGCTCAGGATCAAAATGAGATATCATCTCAAGTCAAAATATGAACTGAGTCTCTTTCTAAATCTCCAAAAGTTACAATGGCATTTGGACAAATTAAGGATGAAAGTCATCTAAAAAAAATTACTCTTGTACCAGTAAAGATTTCAAAAAATAGAAAGATTGTTTTTGATAAACCAAAGTTTCTCATAAATGTTTTAAAACAAATATCTCTTAAAAAATTCAAAACAAGTAGTAGTTTCAAAAAACTATGCTAAAAAAATATTTACATTATTTTTCTAATAACGATGTTCAATAAATTCTTTTGTTAGAGGATGATTTTGATTTTTCTAGTAAATCTCCACACATTTTGGTTAAATAAATTTTTAATAGATGACATTTTTTTCTAATAAATATGAAAGAAAAAAAAATCATAAATACTATGCAAATATATTACTCAAAACAGGATCTATAACATTTAAATATTATGTTGGGATATATAATGCTCTATTGATTAACAAAAAAGTGCCAAAAGGGGGTGAATTGGCTAAAAAAATTGAGAGTATGGAGAAAAAATATAGAAAATTTACACAAGTATTTAGAGTTGTTCAACTTCCTCTATGAAGTTTACATCCACTACCATAACTTCACACTAAGGATTTCTAACAAATTAACTAATTTTTTCTTTCTTTTTCTAAGCTCAAGAGTAACCTTTTACAACTCCTTAATTTTCAATGACTAAACTAGAATCCAACCCCATTTTTAAAAAGATAAAAATAATGTGAAAAAGAAACCTCTTTAAAAAGGTGTTTACAAATTAAGCTTACTAAAAACACACTATTTACAAGAGAAAGTGAGAATAAAAAATGAGAGCTTTTATCTTGGTGATCAATGATTGGATATGTGTTTTGTAACCTTATTTAAGTGTCTTGAACTTCATTTCATATGTTGGAATGTGTTTGTGAGTGTTTCTAGACATTGGGGACTTAATTGTTGCAAAATAAAACTGCCCAGATTAGAGAGTATCGGTACTCGAGCTTATAGTATCGATATTGTAGTAATAAAAACTAGTCGTTTTTCAACTATTAGACTGGGAGTATTGGTACTGAGGTCATGGAATCGATACTACTATATAAAGTAGTATTGATACTCCTTTGAGTATCAATATCTAAAACGCATACTGGAATTTGAACACATTTCTAACAAATAGGCAATATCGATTCTACCATGAGAGTATCGATACTTTAAGAACAATATCGATATTGTTCATGTGGTATCGATAATATAAGAATAATATCGATACTTCTTTTTTAGAAAATCATTTTTTGATCAAATTCAAGTTTTATGGACTTTGAATTATTTTTGAAAACTTTGAATAAATTCAATTTAGTCCAAAAACATTTGGCCCTTAAAATTATTATATCAAAACAGGTTCAACAATCTCCCCATTTTTGATATAACAAAACATTTGAAAATGGTTTTGCAAAACTCCCCCTTAATAAAACATTTAATGAAAAAGAGTAATATGATGAAAAGATATTAAAGCTCCCATTTTCATTCTTGAAATTGATTTTTTCAAACCTATACTTCTCCCCCATTTTGTTATATTAAAAATAATTCAAACATCTAAGTTCAAAACACAATAATGGAGAATAAGTAAAAAAATGTAACATAAAGACCATTTGAAAAATCAAAAGTTGTCCCTTAACAAATGCATTCCAAAAACAATTCGACTTTAAAGGTTTGATAAAAAAAAATTGAATTTCAATAAAGATGAGAAAACATGTTAGTAACTCATGAAATTCAATGAATCCGAGTCTACAATATTTTATCCAATATTAACATGAAACATTACAGTTCATATGCATAAAGTTATTCAAAATGTCATGCATTTGAAAATTTTGATATCAATTGTTAGAAAGATAAATTTTTCAATAAGCATGTATGCATAGAAATTTTAAATTTAAGGTCAAAAGTAAAATTTTGTAAAAGAAAAACAAAATTGACCAAAAATCATTATGATAAACTAAAATTTGATAAAAATCATTGAAACTTTAAAAATGTTCACCATAACACATTTTAACATACATGAGATGAAAAAAAACATATAATCATTTATGCTCAAAAACTCATGCATGCATAAGCCAAAATAGGCAACCAATTATGCAAGATTAAAAACATTAGTTTAGAGGTTACACATTCCTCATTTTGTGTGGATAGAGCATTTGAATTTATTCACTTTTGTCACTATTGTTCCTACACACCTACAAGAGACATTTACTTTGTTTTTGGTACCCAAATTTCTTTGGGTCCTTGAATGTTAGTTTCAATGCCCCTTGTTCCCTTAGGAACCTATACTTGTCTAATTTTAAAATCTTTTCTTTTGTTTATAGGACAAGTATGTTTGATGTGACCATAAAAATAACAATGTAACATTTTGACATTTTTAAACATGATGAATTGTTTTGAGAATTGTTTTTGTTAAGCATTCAAGCTTAACTTTTAAATCAATATTTTCTTTCCTAACAGTTTGGTCAGAGATGCCTTTGTATGGTATAGTAAGCTGTTTAGTACTTGTATCGATTTTCCACAGTGTGGTTAGATACAATGCGCTGGCAGCCTCAGCTTGGCAGGATGGGAATGAAGGTCGAGGAAGTAGGGAAGAAAAGGTTATTCTCTATTGGCTCACCCTTATATCAGGCCTTGGTACGACCTATACATGATTGAGTCATGACGGTTTTGGCAAAGTTAAGAATGGATGGTACCTTAGACCCAACTGTTGAAGTGGAAAGAAAAAAAGATTTTCTTTTGATCTCAAGGCTGCTATCGATTCCTTACCTGTTATCCTGATGTTCTGTATGATTGTAGGGTTGTTCGAAAATCCCTTTCCCTTTTACAACTTCTTGGACATTCATATTTACTTATGTAGTCTTTCAATTACCATATTTTAGATAATCAAGGATATAGGTCATCGGTTCTGACCCCTCGATTTTATAGTTCTTAGCCTCTATTCACACTTACACATCATACGCTTGTGTGGATAGCTGCTGAGAGGGTGTATGGCATGAAGAAGCTTTGCGACTATTCCATTCTTGGCGGTGGTGATTACCGACAAGAAGGTGGCGGCCGCTTACCATAATCAATAGTTTCATTTTACTATAACTATATCTAAAGAAAAGTCTCTCATTTAAATCATTTTTATTATATTATATTATAAGTCATGTTTTGGAGTTTGCCAAAAGATTTTGGAGCAAAGGAGTGAGACGGGATTTATCTCCAGTGTTTGCTAAGATGCTCCGATCTTTGGTTGACGCATCCGATTTTATCAAAGATTATAGATGTAATTGGTACTATGTCTCTACATTTTCCTATCAATTGAGGGTTCTTCTATTTGTATTTGTGGTATGCTTTTTTCCCCTAAATCTAAACGATGGAAGCGTCACTATCTTTGTATGCTTTCACCGTCAGACATTTTCCCGTTACCATTGAAATTATGGTTAGCTTTTCCAGATTTGGGAGTGTTAACATCAGGTGTCACGCAGGCTTTCATCTAAATCACTGACTTTGAATTTTGTAATCTCAAAATCATTTTTCAAAATCCATTTTTGATTTAAAAAAATCATTTTCAACTTGAAATTTTGAAATTAATTTCGTACATTTGGAATTCATGGTCTCAAATTCCAAATACAATTCATCATAGGCATCTTGTAACTCTTTAAATGAATAAAAATTTAAATAATAAGAGTTAGAAGTTACCCTTGAATCTTCTTCAATGGCCATGAGACATAAGTTAGGTACTTCATCATCAAAGTTGTCTTAATCACTCCAAGCCGCCACAATGCCTTTTTTATTGCTTGATCTCATATTCTTTAGAAGAGGACATTCATATTTGGCATGTCTAGTTCTTTGGCATTCAAAGCCCACCGAGTGACCCTTCTTCTTGCTCGATTCATACTTCTTGTCTTTTTTTGAAGTCATGAATCTTTTTAATAGCTTGGCCATCTCTTCATCTTCATCCACCTCTTCACTTGAGTCTTGATTACTCTCATTGGTGGAATTAAAGGTGATTGTCACATCCTTTTCTTTCTTCTCTTCTTCCTCTCCCTTCTTCTTTTGGAGCTTCACCTCATGAGTAAGCAAAGAACCAATGAGATCATCGAGGGTTTATAACTCCAAGTCCTTGGCTTCTTCAATAGACGTTGCTTTGCCTTCCCATGATATAGGCAATGAGGCAAGCATCTTTCTCACTACTTTTTCATTGGGATAAACATTCCCAAAAGTCTTCAACTTGTTTCTAATTGAATTGAACCGATCATACATTATCTTCATGTCTTCATCGGGCTTCATCTTGAGGTTCTTGTAGTTGAGAGTGAAAAGGCCAATCTTTGGCTTCTTCACTTGGCTCGTTCCTTCATGGGTCACCTCCAACTTGTCCCATATATCCTTTGCATTAGAACATGAAGATACTCGACTATACTTATTTGGACCAAGAGTGCAAAAGAGAATGTGTATAGCTTTGTCATTGAGTTGGGCAAGCTTCTTGTCCTCACTAGTCCAATCCTTTCGATTCCTTGAAGGAGTGGAAGAACTGTCGACGATGGCATCCCAAACCGCAAGGTTGGTGGTTTGGATGAACAACATCAGCGTATTCTTCCAATAAGAGTAGTTGTCACCATTGAAGTTAGGAGACCTATGAATAGAGTGTGAGTCTATAAGGTAGTATGCGTCAGATGTTGAAGAAAACTTCTTGGTTGCGTTGGAAAATGATAGAGCTTCTTCAAGGAATGTCTCAAGGTTGTTAAACCTTCTAATGAGTCAAACAATTATACCAATTGTTGGGATATATGATACTCTATTGATCAACCAGAAAAAGTGCCAAGGGGGGTAAATTGGCTAAATTAAAATTTTGGGAGTATGGAGAAAAAAGATAAAAAATATGCACAAATATTTAGAGTGGTTCAACTTCCTCTATGAAGTTTACATCCACTACCTTAGCTCCACACTAAGGATTTTTAACAAATTCACTAATTTTTTTCTTTCTTTTATAGGCTGAAGAGTAACCTTTTACAACTCCATAGTTTTCAATGGCTAAACTAGAAACCAACCCTTTCTTTCAAAAATATAAAAGGAATGTAAACAAGAAACCTCTCAAAGGAAGGTGTTTACAAATTAAACTTACTAAAAACACAATATTTACAAGAGAAAATGAAGAATAAATAATGAAAGCTTCTCTTGATGGTCAATACTTGGATAGGTTTTGTGTAACCTTCTTCAAGTGTCTTGAACTTCATTTTATATGTTGGAATGTGTCTGTGACCGTTTCTAGCCATTGGGATGTTTTGGAGCCGTTGAGGACTTAATTGTTGTAAAATAAAACTGCCCATACTATGGAGTATCGATACTCGGTCTTGGAGTATCGATACTGCACTAATAAAAACTAGTCATTTTCAACTGTTGGGATGGGAGTATCAGTACAAAGGTCATTGTATTGATACTACTATACAAAGTAATATTGATACTCCTCTGAGTATCGGTACCAAAAAAAACCTACTGGAATCTAAACACATTTCTAACAATTAGACAGTATCGCTACTACCATGGGAGTATCGATACTTCCCTTATCTTGGGTATCGATACAACAAGAACAATATCAATATTGTTTCATGTGGTATCAATACTGTAAGAACAGTATCAACACTTCTTTTATAGAAAAATCATTTTTGTGTTCAAATTCAAGTTTTATGGACTCTGAATTATTTCTGAAAAATTTGAATAAATTCAATTTAATCAAAAAGCATTTTGCCCTTAAAATTATTATATCAAAATAGGTTTAACACATTACACTTATTCAAAAGATTCAAATTTTACTAACCATTTTCCAGCCCAAATCATCAAAGTCCTTAGGCCAAAAGACTAGGGTGAAAGTCCATCACCCTTAATGAAGTTTCCAACATCATTTCCTGAAGAAAAAAAATTCTCATTGCACCCATTTTTGTTACTGGGATTACTGTGCAACCTATTTACAACATTCCTGATGAATAATCAGTATATGAGACATTCATGGCTCATATATTTGAATACAAATCGTCTGCCCCCTTTTGTGTCTCTCTTTGTGCCCCACCAGTGATGTTTATACGTGAGTACTTTTACTTACGGAAGCACTCTTGCAATCTTTAAGAAAGAGTCAATTTCCTTCTTTGTTTCTTTCCTCTTTGTGCACCGCTGGGCTGCATTCTTTTGCCATCTTCTCCAGTTGAAATTTTCAGTCTCAACACGCAAGAGTACGTTTCTAGTGACATATATAGACAAAGAGGAAAGAATGTCAGAAAAATAAAATATAACATAATATTTATGCCCCACCGGGCTGCATCCTTATGACATCTTCTTCAGTTGCACCAACTCTTCTTACACTAAAATACTCTGATTTTTTAAAAACAAACCATTTGTTTTCTTCTTCATCCTCTTAGTGTGCAAAAGTAATAATATACCCCCAAAATAATTAAACCCACCATTATATATATATATATATATATATATATATATATATTTGTAAGCATGTTTAAGTGATTAATGGTGGGGTTTGATCGGACATGACAGTAAAGAAATTATTGGTTCGCCATGGAGATGAGAACTGTTGCACTTGCTTCAGCATCAAAATCTGCTATACATACGATAATGTTTACAGGAGAATATTGTGTTTGATCGGAGTCGATCATTGTGTGTCGTTACACGGTGGCATGTTTTTTTGGTCAGTTATCTGTTCCCAACTCGAAGTCGGTTCACCTAGTTCTTTAAGTTTTCTAAATTCTGTTTATGCATCCGTGAGCATGTTTTTTTGGCTGATTCCTGGTTGGATATCATACGTCTCCTCTTTCGTTGACTTTCATTCAGTTGAGAAATTAACAATTTGGTGGAGATAAGGGTTTGTTTTTTGAATGTAAAAGATGTGACTGCAAAGCTAAAAAAAATTATGCACCGTTGTGGATCGTGAAAGATGAAATAAAAGAATAAAGTAATTCTTTTCAAAGTTTAGTTGTACAAGTGTTTCCGTAAAAATAAAAGGACACATGTACAAAGATTACTAGTGGGGCATAAGGAGGGACACAAAAAAGGGGCAGAGGATTTTTATTTCATATATTTTAAATATGGATAATACTATAAATTCCTTAACTTGTTTCAAGAGTAGTGTAATTGTAACACCCCAATTTAGAGGCTAAATTTCAGAAATTAGATAGTGGGGAATTTAATTGGTATTTAGAGAAGAAATTGTGGATTAAATTGTAATATCGTAAAATTGGCAGATCATTTTCTAAAGTGTAGAAAATTCAGTGGCTAAACTCATAGTTTAACTATTTTTTCTTTTTGAGAGAATTATAAGTCTCTCCTCCGTATGTTTCTACATATTTTTTCCCATTTTCTTCTTTCCCTCAACCCTCCTTTGAACTCCGATCTACTCACCGTCCGACCACCGTTTGACGAACCGAAACCACCATCGTTTTCGTTGTCGAAAGATGAACAAAACCCCTCAAACCTCTTGTCGTGAATCGTCGTCGTGAATCGTTAATTTCAGTCGGAAGTATCGTAGGTTTTAACTCAATTTTCGTTGGTTTTCTGTCGATTCACGTCGATCTCGTCACTCCTTTTCGACACCTCCCGCACCATCGTGTTCCTTGCATCGTTCCGAGTCCACCAGTGTCCTTCGTGTCTCCATCGTCGTCAGCGTGTGGAGGGGTGAGGAAGTCAAAGTTTTTGATGTTTCTGAATCGAGCTCTTCGCCGTTCAAATTTGTGAACCAAGCTTGGTAAATGTCTCAAAATGCATTAAAATATTTTTTGGAAATTTTTATGTGAATTTTCGGGGCACCCAGGCCGCCGGAAGGTCTCAAACCGGTTTTCTTTTCCTACTGCTATACGTGCAGACCTTCGGACGGCCTGGGTACACCACGACCCGATTGCTCGACCCGACCCATTGACCCATTGACCATCTTTGATCGATGACCGCGTTGACCATCGTTGACCGTTGACAAGAACTTGGATCGGCCGTTGACTTTTTTCGGGTATACCTATTTTAACATTTTTTGATGTCTTGAGTCCGTTTTTGAGGTATGTTTCGCCAAATTTGAACCCGATAAGCTATTTTTCACTGATTTATCACCTGATTCAATCCGTTTTTCATAATTAAGCTCAATTTTTTATGTAATTTCTGTTACTATGTATCTGAGGAATTATTGGAAGTTGAATTAAAGATCGAGGGCGTTCGAATAGAATTTATATGGTCGATCAGTATGGAACAAAAATCGATGTAATACATTAATACCTCTTTATCCTTTATAGAACATATTGATATTTGATTAATGCATGGATGTATATCATTTGACTATTATGCCTTTTTGATTATGGATGGTCTCGATCCGAATTCGTTTAAATGATAAATTATAAGAATACTTCGATTAGGTAAAATTATGAAAATACCCTTGTGCTGTAAAAATACAAGATTTAACCATGGAAGATGAATAAGGGGTTTTAAAGAGATATTGATCTGATGAAACTACTGATGTGCATAAGAAATGCTAATTTTGCTTAGGAAATTTGGATAATCGGTTTTTAACCCCATGAGGGTTTGTGCAAGATACTAGAAGTCTGTTATGGAATCATTTCAAGATCAGAGAATGTTCGGGAAATAAATTAACCATAGGATCTCTAAATTATAATTATTTTCGTTAAGAGTTAATACATAAATTATTTGGTTAAGAAATTATGAAAATGCCCTTAAAAAGTAAAAATTGTTCTAGTTGACCCTGAATGAGAAAGTACCCTGAGATTTCGTTCTTAACCCGCTAAATTACGGATTTAATTGTTAAGATCCTATCTTTGTACATAAAATTTCTGATATTTCGTTAGTAAAATTTGAGAAAGCTATTGACCCGAAAATCTTCGAATTATGAATAAATACCTGAAGAATGATTTATCGATGGTGCTCTTTTATCAAAATTGTTTGAAATGACTGAACTAAATGATAAGATTAAATTAAATAATAAGACCGGATGGAAGGAAAAGATTGAAATACCCTAGATCTATAAAATTACCAAACTACCCCTGTAATGGAAATGACTCAAGAATATCACCAAGCCTAATAGATATCCTCAAGCTTTGAAATGAATGGAAAAGCATTGAGCACCAAAATGTCCAACATGCCCTTATGGTCTAAACTAAGTAAATGTTTTGGATTAATTAAGGACTCCAAATAAACATGGGTGTTGAACTACCCTTAAAAGTTATGGAATTCAGCTTAAGTGAGTTGACCAACGCTAATGATATGTCAGTACCTGAACGACATAGGTATCATTTGAATGTGTGTTCGTCTTCTCAAATTTAGTTCGATGATAATTTTAGAAGTACTTACTCAACTCTAGATTGCATTCGGTTATAAAAAATGGATATTCATTAGACAAATCAACCACGAAGACCAAATTGAATTGAACAGAAGTACAATATATATATATGAAATTCAGAAACGTCTGGATTACCTTGGAAAATCCCAAAGTAACTGGAATAGACTTGACTGCTAAATGAATTAAGTAACCTCAAGGACTGAGGATTAAGTAAGTGATTTGGATGAGTCTGGAAACGTTAATGAACATA